ATTTTATCTGCATTATTTTATCTATTAATTTTATTTTAGCTACAATAAAATCTATTACTAAATATTTTTATTAATAAAGTTATTGCTGTTAGGTGCCTTTGAGTCAAATATGATCCATAGAAAACCCATGGACATCAGATCTAAATCCTATCTTATGTCAGATTCATAATCTTTGACATACTATGCTATGTCAATCCATCTGATTAAAGGTCTTCTTTCTAGCTAACCCTCCACCTTTCCAAGCATGATATCTCTCTTCAAGGATTCGGCTTTTCTGCCAACATGCCTAAGATGTGTGAGAGGAAGCTTTATAATTTTGGTCCATAAGGAACAGTTTGGTTGCATCTTCTCCAAGATGTATCCGTTTGTTCATTTGACATGGAATATTCAGTATTCTCACACCACAGCACAAAGGCATCAATTCTTCTGACACTTTTAGTCATTGTCTAATCTTCAGATGAGTAATAAGTGATTTAAAAGATCATGGCCTGAATCTTTGCTCTTCAATAATTTGGAGAGGTCCTGGATTGCTCAATTGTTTGAAAACCCAATGAATAATTATTGAGAAACAATGATATCAGATTAAAAATTAAAGTGTGCCTGATTCAGGTCATGGTCTCACTTACATATAGCATGTTGCCAGGAGGGATCAGCTATTGAAGAAGGACACCAGGCAGGAGAGGAAGATCCTAGAGGAGATAGAGTGATAACAATAACTTGGGTAATGGGGGTAAGTGTGTTGTAGACCATGAGATTGGCTCAGGATACAGCAGCATTCAGAGCTATTTTGCACAGAGTTGCTACGAGTTATAGTCGACAGCACATAACAACAACAACCATGACTGAAGACTCTCCCAATGTGATATATCTCCTGATCTCCTGACTGCTCTTACCAAGGGTACTGATTGTGTAGTCAAATAAGATGAAGTCTTTCATAGTTTCAATCTTTTCTCTATTTATCATGATGTTGTGTATAGTTCCAGCGGTGAGAAATTTTATTTTCTTGGTGTTTAGATGCAATCCATATCGAACACTGTAGTCTTTGATCATCTTCCACAAGTGTAGCAAGCAAGGTTGTGTTATCCGCATAACATTATTATTAATGTCTTTCTCCATTCTTAATGCCATATTCTTCATAATGAAGTCCAATGTCTTGAATAATTTTCTCAGCATACAGTTGAATATCTACAGAGAGAAGATACCACCCTAATGCACAACTTTATTAGTTTTAAACTGAGTAGTGTCCCCCTTGCTCTGTTCATACACCTTCCTGTTGGTATAGGTACATCTTTTCATGAGCACAATTAAGTGTTCTGGGATCACATTCTTTCTAATGTTAGTCCTAAGTCTGTACTATCCACACAGTTAAATGCCTTTGCATAGTCAATAAAGTACCAATAGACCTTTCTTCTGGTATTTGCTTTCATCCAGGATCCAACTGACATCAGCAATAACATCCTTCATGCCACAGCCCCTTCAAAATCCATCTTGAACATCTGAAAGGTCTCTTGTTATGTACTGTTCTAGTTTAATAATGTTAGTATTTAAAGTTGCTGTAATAACACTATTAAAAAAAAACTCCGTGATAAAACTTTGCTAAAATACAAGGTAATGTTTAAAAGTTCAAATGTATTTTATCATTTAATAATTTAATTCAGTGCTTTTAATTTTATTTCATGCTATATTTTCTCATGTTGAGTCCCCTGCAACTCGCAGTGACCCTATGTACAACAGCGCGGAAGCCTGCCCTGTCTTGAGCCAGTGTCACTGACTCTAACTCATTTACCTCCATTGCCCTAGATACTTTATCAGTCAGTCAAGCAAGCAAGCAAGCAAACAAGCAAGCAAGCAAGCAATCTCATTTGGAGTCTTTCTCTCCTGTGCTGTTCCTCCACATTTCTAAGCATGATGTCCTTTGGTCTTTCCTAGCTACGTGCCTCAAGTACCTGAGATGGACCTTCAGAATCCTAGCCTCCAAAGGAGAAACTTTGTTTCACTCTCTCCAAGACAGCCTTTTTTTTTGGGGGGGGGGTGGTCATTTGTATGTTCTAGATGCTTCTCCAGCAGCAGAACTCCAAGGCATCAATTGTACATAGGGTTTTCGAAGGCCTTTTATATTTTGAAAGTGGATGGCCAAGCCTTCTTCCTAGTCTGTCTTAATTTGGATGTTTAGCTTTAGAACAATATCAGACAGATAAAAATTTACAAAACGGAGAATATGAAAGACACTTCCCCTTAGAGAAATCACCATTACATTCAGTGCTGCTCCCCCACCACCCCACACATGTGTCTTGTCCTTTCCCTTTCACTGCTACATCAGAATCCCTTTCACTGTGATCTACCCTGGCCTACCTTGCCCAGCATCAACCTCTCCCTAAACACCCTTTGAGATGATGGCTTAGGCCATAAGCCACTTCTGTGGTGTCTTGTGCCTCTCACTGCTGCTGGTCTCTTATGCTCATTCCTGTCTTGTGTTTAGGAGAATTTAAGTCCATATCTCAGGCATCAGCTTCAGGGAAGGATTTTTGTCCAAGGCATTACTGGGAAAAGATTCTTGCCCCTGAGCTTCTGCTCTAAGACTGTCATCTTGTGACTTAGTGTCTCTGCTCTTCCTTTTTTTATATCTTTTTAATTTCTTTTTCACTAGTTTATTTGCAAAATTCTAATGCAAATTTTAACAGATTCTTTCAATTTCCGTCATCCCCCTACCCATAAAATTATACAACCCAATGGTTAATGCCCTTTCCCACGTACGTCCACGTCTCTCTGCTTCCATCCTCTCCCACCCATCTTGGATCCTTATACTCATTCTACAATAACAGACTTATACAATATTTATCCTTATGGAACTGAGTTAGTTCACTCAGCATAATGCTCTCCAGTCCCTCCCAAGTTAGGTAATAATTTATAAAGTTATTTCTCCTGCGTGCTGCATAGTATTCCATAATTTCTCAATCCATTTGTTTGTGGTTGGGCATTTGGGCTGTTTTCATGTTCTTGTAATGTTGGATAATGCTGCTATGAACAATGGTGTACAAATCTCGGTTTGTGCCTCAGTTCTCATATTCTCAGAGTATATTCCAAATAGTGGAATAACTGGGTCGTATGGAGTTTCTATGTTCAGCTTTTTTTTTTTTTTTTATGTTCAGCTTTTTAAGGAAGCAACAAACTGCCTTCCGGAATGGTTGCACCATTTTACGATCCCACCAACAATGTATAAGAGTTCCTTTCTCGCCACATCCTCTCCAACATCTATTGCTTCCCTGTTAAACTTTGCTACTCTTACTGGACTGAGATAAGTACCTCATTGTGGTTTTGATTTGCATCTCTCCTATTGCCAGTGCATTTCTTCATGTGTCTTTTTGCCATTCAAATATCTTTCTTTGTGAAAATTTTTTCCATGTCTTTTGCCCATTTTATAATTGGGTTATCAGTCTTTTTCTTGTGGAGGCCCAGCAGTATTCTGTAAACTTTTGTCATAAGATTCTTGTCTGATTCTTGTCTGAGACGTTTGTTCCTAGTCTGTAGGTTTTCTCTTCACCCTGTTGAAAGAGGTTTTGATGTGCACAGACATTTAATCTTTAGAAGGTCTCATGCATTGATTTTATCCTCTTTAGATTGTGCATTTCTGGTTGTATTTGGCAGTCTCTTTATACCTTGGAGTAGTGCTTCTAAGCTAAATCCCAGTTTGTCTCTTATGAACGTAGGTCTCTGATTGACCTTGAGTTGATTTTTGGGAAATGTGGATCTTGGTTAAGCTTTCTGCATGTGAAAGTCCAGTTTTGCCAGCAATGTTTGTTGAAGAGGTTATCATTTCCCTGTTTGATAGCTTTGATTTCCTTGTTGAATATCAGTTGACCATAAATAGCTGGGTCTATTTCTGGGTTCTCAGTTCTGTTGCATTGATGCTGTTTTGGTCTTCCTTTTGCACCACCGTGCTATCACAATCTGATAATTTCCAAGGTGAAGGTTGTGTTTTTTCTAAATTTGGTATGCTGATGATGTTTATTTCTGGGACAATCGGTGTTACCCAATTAGGAGGACTACAAAGTAGTCTCAGAGTCCTGCCATGTAAGAACCTCTGGGTTTCCTGATGCTTAGTTAGGGGGGACAAAAGGTGAGCCCAGACTCCGGCTGTGCACATGAAGCTCTGGGGTTTCCATTGCAGGCAACATTTAAATTTATTTCTATTTAGGTTATTCTAATTTTTAAATTAGTGATGAAAATGTAAATAAATATTACCAAGTACAACTTGAATTTTAGAATCTTAATAAGGATAGTTTGGAAGGAGGAGTGGCATCCACTTCCATAATAGCTTGGCTCTGGAAACCCTATGAACCTGAAGAGAGGATGAAAGGCACCCAAGTGTCGAGGACTCTCCTTCATAGGGTTGCTATGAGTCACCTGCAACTCGACGGCACTTAATAACAACAACAACAACAACAATAAGGATAGTAGAATTTAAAATAATAATGATATTATTAAATTATTTCAATTAGCTTTAATTTATTATATGTATATAGAACATCTATTATATATTTATGGGAAGATAATGATATATAGATGCCTAAATATTGAGATAGACATTTATATATTGTATACCATGAAGTGGCAACCAATTCATAGCTGACTTCCAAGGGGGTTTTCAGGGGTCATAAATCACACAGGAGGAGATTGTCCATTTTCCTCTGGGAGCAACTGAGAGATTTAAACTACATGCCTTTGGGTGGGTGGCACAACTCCATATCACTAAGCTAAGAGAGATCCTATTAATGTATATGGACATAGATATATTGTTTGTTCTCTTAAAGATGAAGTTTTGTAACCTGCTATAAGTGTGAACACCGTATTAACAAGTGTTAATTTGGATGTTTTAGTTCTTGATATCATTTTCCAAATTAATATTGCCATTGTATTGACTCTAACTGAACTATTTGTTGTAAAACAAACACTTTCTTAATGAAATTAACATGATCTCCAAGTAGGACTCATCCTTGATTTTATACAGCACATTTTGTCACAATCCTGGTGGCTTTCACAAACAGAAGTTTTACTCCTTTCTTCAGAGCAATTTGGACATCTTTGTTTCTCAGACTATAGACTAAAGGATTTAGCAAGGGCGTAAGTACTGTGTAGAGAAGCGAGGAAATCTTGTTCAGGTTCAGTGTCGTTCTGGATGGTGGTGTCATGTACACCACAATCATGGTGCCATAGAACACACTCACGACGATCAAGTGGGAGGAGCAGGTGGAAAAGGCTCTATATCTGCCTGTTGAAGTAGAAATCCTTAAAATGGAGGACAAAATGCAGCCATAAGATAACAAGGTCCAAAGGAAAGGAGAGAGGGATAGGAATGACGAAGCAAAGGCTACCTTCTCCACCATTGTAGTGTCTGTGCAGGAGAGTTTCACAAGTGGGAACAAGTCACAAAAGAAATCATCAATGATATGGGGTCCACAGAATGTTAATGTAGCAAGAAAAATTAACACAGCTCCCACAAAGAGAAAACCACTAATCCATGATCCCACTGCCAACTTGATACAAGTACTGCTGTCCATAAGCAATGGATATCTCAGGGGCCAACAAATGGCCAAGTAGCGATCATAAGACATGATAGCGAGGAGAAAGCACTCCACAGTGAGTAAGGCCCCAACAACATAGAGCTGCATCACACAGGCAGAAAAGGAGATAGTGACACCACCAGACAAGATTTCCTTCAACAGCTGGGGGGTAATGCTGCTTGTGTATCCAACATCCACGCAGGATAAATGGCACAGGAAGAAATACATTGGAGTATGAAGGTGTGTACTTGTCTGAACCGCAAGGATTAGTAGAAAGTTACCACACAGTGTGGCAACATAAAAGCTTAGAAACAAAGAAAAAAGGATACCCCAAACTTCTTCAAGGTCCCCAAATCCCTGCAAGGTCACATATGTAATTGTAGAGATATTTCTTCTTTGGTTGTCTTCCATCTGAGGAAAACAAAAAGAAAAGAAAATGACTTTACTACAGAGCAAGCAAGCTATTGTTAAGTAGCAGGACCATGATAATGTTGGCAATAATATTATGTTATTCTTTGCGAAAATATTTTTTTTTCCAGATTTAAGCAGGTATCCTGGTTTTCAGTTAAATCTCCATTTCTGAGTGTATTTACATCCAAAATACCTACAATCAAGGTCAAGTTGGATGAAGTGCATATAAAGGGGGGGGATTACACATATGTTTTGAGCATTTAGAATTTAATCCTATTTGTCTGTGAATTCCTGTGTACACCTCTCACACTCTATTTATAGTTTTGCTATTCTGTTGTTAAATGTCTTTGAGTCAATGATAACTAAAACAATGCTATTAACAACCTATTAGGATCTTGTCCTGCCCTGAACCATCCTCAGAATGTCCACCATACTCAGGTCACGTTGCTAGAGTCAGTGTGTCAGTCTTTTTTCTTTCTCTCTCTCTTTCACTGACCCTCTCTGCTTTTCCATGTACGATGACCTTTTTTCAAGAACCAGCCCCTCATGATAACATGCTTAAGTCATGTAAGATGAAGGTTCACTATATCTGGCTCTAAAGAACAGCCTGGTGAACTTCTGAAATAGACTTGCTTCATTTAATTTTCCATGGGATATACAATACTCTTTGTCAACACCCCACTTCAAATATATTTCTTATTCTATTGTCCTTATTCACTGTCCAACTTTCATATCTATAAGAAGCAATTGAGAAAACACTGAAGAGGTGTTTTCTCATTCAAACTTTCTTCCAGCATGTGATAAAGATATTGAGTAAACTATAAAATACTATTTTCATATTTCTTCAGTTAACATTTTGTTTGTATGTTTCAGGGTGATGTCTGAGTTACGGTCATTTAAAGTATGTTAAATATGGATCTTTGGCACAATGTTACAGCAAACACATTTTCAAGATAAGCATTTTTTGGGAAAACTCAAAGATGCTAGATTTCTAATCCAAAGAGAAGCATTTCACATATTTGTTCATTCTAGCTTGTTTTCATTTAACATCTGAGGTTCAGTTTAAAGGTTTTATAAGCTAATTTTGAAAACTGAGACACGATACTAGTACTGTAGGAGTTGGTGAGGACTTGACCTAAATAATCCTTTCGTTGTACTGTTATTTCCTTCTTGGTGTATTTTGCTAAGTGAAACTTGTTAACTAATTTTTTTTTCAAATAAAGTTGTGGGTTTTTTTTTTTCACACACAAAAGAAGCAATAGAAAAACCGTAGCTTGCATTAGGTGAACCTTAGTTTTTACACCGCTCTCCTATCTCTTGAGCACTATGGAGAGGTCCTGGGAAGAAGATTTGCTCAATGAAAAAAAAACAATTTTATATATATATATTCCTTGACTCCTACGATCATCAATGTTGATTATAGATCCAAGTAAAATTATATTATTGACATTCAATCTTTTCTCCGTCTATCATATTGTTGCCTAGTGCCCAAAAGGTTGAGATTTTTATTTTCATTATGTTAAACTCTTTAATAGCTCTCCTTTAAATGGTGCACATGCAGCCAAAACATTTAAACTGAGTACACTTTTCCTTCAAATAGCAATATGATCAACTCCAAAGACTATCTCAGACACATTATAAAGTAAGAACATGTACTATGAGTTCTAGAATTTTTTATTTTCTACTTTTCCCCCCTAATTTAATGTGGATCAATGACATCATGCTAGGACACAGGTATGAGGACTTATTTTTTTGTAAATTCAAATAAAATCCTACAAAATGTTCGAATGAAATAGTTTAAGATGTTTCACTTAACAACAAACTTTATCTAAGACAATATTTACTTTCCAGTCATCTATCAATATTACATGCTTTTTTATTTTAATAAGATTGGATGTTTATGCTATAAACACCCATCCCAATTACCCTAGTCACTGAACCAATCCACCTCATAGAGGGTCTTCCCCTCCTGCGCTGTCCCTCCACCTTACCAAGCATGATGTCCCTCTCCAAGGACCTGTCTCTCCTTACAACATGTCCAAAGTATGTCACACAAAGCCCCAGAATCCTTGCCTCCAAGGAGAATCAAATACATTTTTTCAAACATATTTTCAATTTTGAACATGTAAACAATACTTTAAAAAAATGATTGCTCTTATTACCTTGTTAGGTATAGAGTGTAAGTTCTGACTTATAGAGACCATGTAAAAACCACTGCTGGTCCTTTACTACTCTTGCAATTACTGCACTGGTTGAGCTCAATGTAACAGCTAAAATGACAGTTCATTCTCTTAAAAGTACACCTCTTATTCACCGACCTCGTACTTTATCATGCATGATCTATTGTCTCTAGAGATTGGCCCTTTGTGATGCCATGCACAAAGTATTTGAGATGAAGTCTCACTATCCTTATTTTTAAGGAACATTCTGACCACATTTCTTCTGAGACAGGTTTACTTGTTCTTTTTAAAGGGCAGGCAACTTCAAAATGTTTTACTAATGTCACAATTCTAAAGCATTAATTAACACTGCAAGCTGTCAACCAAAAAAATCAGTGGTTCAAATTCAGTTAGTTGCTCAATGAGAGAAAAGTCTCCTTATATAAATATTTATAACCTCAGAAACCCAAAAGAAAGGTCCACCTGAGTTGGACTCAACTTGATGGCAATAGATTTTGGTTTAATTCTTCTGTGGTTTTTTTTGTATCTATTATCTAAATTTCTTAAGTAAATGAGATGATTGGAAATACCAGGGCTTGAGTAAATTGCATCTCAGTTCTTAATGTGACAGTTTTGATTATCAGTATGTTTAAAAGGTTCATTGCAACGAATAGTACCAACGCAACACATTTTCATTTCTTAAGAACTGTTTCTTTGGGTATGACCGTGAACCCAAGTCAACAGATGTCCTTGACGTCTTCATTCTTTGTTCTTCAGAGTTCTTATTGCAGCAATTTCTGAAAATTATCTTTAGTAACAGTGTACTTGTATGTGATTGTATTGATATTCTTTGAAATTTCTTAATTATTTGAGGTCAGCTTTCTTTGCACAAAAATATGTATCCCAGTCAGTTAACTTAGTAGCTCTTTCAAATTTATCGGTATAGACAAGTCTATAGTTTAGAATTGCATCTGTTAAAATGTTTCATTCAATTGGTATTCTATCAATTTCAATGCCGTGTTAATCACCAATGCTTGCAGTGCAACTTGGACTTTTTCTTCACTACTATTGAAACTTTATCATGTGCTGCTTCTTAAAATAGTCAAAAAACTAAACCAAACCTATTGCTGATGACTAAATTCTGACTCATAGCGAATTTTCAGAGGATTTCCAAAGCTGTACATCTTAAAGGGAAGAGACTATCTTTTACCTGGGGAGTAGCTTGTGGATTAAAATTGCCTATGTTTTGGAAAATAATGAGTATCAATTAATTCAATCCCTGTAATTTCCCATAATATTTTTCACTGTTGCAATTCAAATCTGTTATTTTTTTCCAGATATTTCATCTTGAGAAATAAAGAGTGTGTTCTTTTACTTTTGATTTTCTAATTCCAGGTCTTCGCTTATTATATTAGAATGCATTACTTTATCTTTCCCAGCTATCTTTTGTAAATGGAAATATTATATTCCATTATGTAATTTCATAATATCTTCTTTATTCTCATTTCCTGGCATTGGTAGATCTGGTGGTGTAGTGGGTAAAGAGTTGTGCTCTAAACACAAACGTAGAGAGTTGCTCTGATGGAATAAGGTGGGCAATCTCCTTTTTAGTAAATTACACACTTTGAAAACATTCTGGAGGGTCAACTAAGAGTCGATTCCAATGTGTTCACAATGAGAGATTAAAAGAGAGAAGGGGAGAGAGAAAGAGGAAAAGAGAGAGAAAGATATTGATTCTAGGCAGAGTTTTAGAGGCTGACACTGTGTCACCCAGCGTGCTGTTGCTATTAATAAGTGTTTCTGGGGTCAATTATTTCAGATAGGAAACCAATACCAATTCTGCTTCCTAGACTTTCTTAGTGTGGAAGCTCTGCTGACACATATCCACCTTGGGTCACCCTACTGTCATTTTAAATACCAGTTGCATAGCTTCCAGCATCACTGCAAAACATACAAGATACCACAGTCCAGCGAGGTAGTAGACAAGTGATGGTAAAGTAATTATTATGAGAACCACAGAAAAGAAATGAATTAATGAACATATATTTTGGGACAAACTAATGAAACATAAATATAATATTTTTACTATTCTTATTTCAAACCAAAAGCCTCATTGCTCTTGATTTTGATTCAGGGTTACTAGATTTCTAAAGTTGTAAATTTGTATGAAAGGATATGACCCTTCTTTCTCACATGGAAGAAATGTGGCTTTATTTTAATTGAAATAGGATAAGTAGAAATGTGATTTCAGTTTTGTAAAGTTTACATTAAAAATAGTGATAATAATTGTAATATAAAGAGCACACGTTTGCCAGATATGCATTGAAAGACCTTTCTTCTTGATAGAATAGCAGTTGTGATTTTGTTTCAAAACTAAGTCAATATAATGTTTGAAAAGAACAAATGGTAAATTGTTTCTTAAAAAAATTACAATAAGGTTGGAAAGATGTAATCATAAAACAAAGAAAAGGAGAAGGATTTTTCAAGAAGTTAAATTATTTTCTTTCACAATAAATAAATCCAGATAGTCAAAGAGAGTAAGAGAATAAAGAACAAGAACTGCATGATGCTGTTGTTAGGTACTATAGAATCGAGTATGAGACATAATGACCCTATGAACAACAGATCTGAACCCTGTCCTATCCTGAACCATCCCTACACTCCCTGACACATTAGAGTCTATTGTGGCGGTCACTGTTTCAATCCACCTGACTGAAGATCTTTATTTCCTTCACTGACCCTCTCTCTGCCTTTCCAAGTATCATGTCTTTTTCCAAGGAAATATGCCCAGAGTATGAAGTGATGTTTTATTATCTTTGCCTTCAAAGAACACTCTGGCTT